ACAGCCGACTGTCGTTTATTTTCTGGTTCATAACAGTAAATCCACGATTCATCACCACTTTCAATGCTGTACACATTTTTTGAGTTTCCGGAATTGAAAAGGTCAAGCGTTTTTTGACACCAATTAACCCTGGCTGCTTTCTGCTCGTCAGTCAACAGGTGGGGTATCCATCGAGAAACTAATTTTCTTACTATTAATTCTTCATGTAAAATTTTTTGAATTGAGGTCTTTCAGATCTTCAAGGACGCCTCAATCTCGCGATATGTTACATGTCTAGCTTCAATGATGAGTTTGCGAACAGCATCTACGTTTTCCTGGGTGACTGTCGTTTTTGGTGCACCCACCCTGGGATCGTCGCTAAGACTCACCCGTCCACGTTTGAATTCTCCATACCAACGGGAAATTGTCGACTAATGCGGCGCTTCGTTGCCGAAAACAGTCAGTAACTCAGCAAAGCATTCTTGTTGCGATAATTGTGTCTGAAAGTTGTAATAAATTATGGCGCGAAAATGTTCTCGGTTGAGTTCCACTTTTCTAATGACTAGGTGACACTTAAAAATTTACTGTCGTGAGGACACTGCACGTATTGTTGTGAAACTTTGAATTTAAGTTTACTAAAGAGTGAGGTTAAGATTCAGTACTGACGTTCGATCCGCGCGGCCTACTATGTTTCTATATGCAAAACTTCATCCCTCGTATAAGCGATTTAATGTCTTAGAAGCCTAGAAATGGGTAAATTCAATGCTTAAAATGTCGGTTAAAAATAATAATCTTGAGGTTGCCAAGTATCTAAATTAAAGTTTAAGCTTTTGCTTATCCATATGTGTATTTCTGTTGTTTTTATATGACCATATTCTATAATTACTCCTTTTTAATGCACTTCTTACAGTTATCTGATTCATGTTGTTATCCTAATGTTTTGTGATGTCGGCACGGGTATTATGTAAAAAACCTATAAAACGTCAAAAAAAAACCTATAAAATGTCATCTTGTAGACTAGGTAGTTTTTAGTGTGCAAACAGTCATTGAACGTTTGCTCACTAGGACCGTTGAGAGGGTCCATCTATGGAGGAATAGCTCAACTACACGCATTGTTGGTTGCATGTGTTTTGTGAAGCCAAGTAATCTATAGTTTTCATCTCTGAGAAGAAAGTTGGTTGAATAGCAAGATCGCACTCGATGATTGTGTGTATTGGTCTGCATGTGAATAAAATCAGTGATACTTGCTGTGTTAAAAAATCACTACTAAATATGCTGCCAATGCAGTATATCTGATAGCTGTGTCCGACGGGTTATTTGTATGTTGTCCTTCCTGAAGACAGATTATGTTCAAAGCTAGAAATTACGTTTTTTGTGTTTGTAAAAACTTTGAGGAAAATCACGGGATATCACCACTGCGCCAGCGTTGTGTGTAATTGCTGTTATCATGTATATGACTTGTAATTCGACAGTATATAGTGAATATAAATATTTCTTATCCCTCTCATTTTTTAAATTCAGCAAATTTGCATATGTAATTTCCAGAATGGATAAGAAAAAGAGGATGCGCAACTAATTTCTAGCTTTGAATCTCAAGTAACTGTACTTAGACAAGAATCCAATGGAATTATCATCATCAATTATTATCAGCACACAAATCCTCACTGTGCATCTATGCATTGTCGTTACCTCCAGTAATGCCATCTCAGAAGCAGATTTTACATCACATCAGAGCCAAACATTGATAACTGAAGCCTCATGACGTTCAGGCAACAAGTACAACTACGAAACGAGTTCACAAGAAAAATCGACATTATGTCACTTTCCAAGAAACGTTAATTCCCGTGCGGGATCTATATCTTGCATTCAGTTGAGTCAATTCAAAATTGATTCAAAAAGTACCTATTACAATGTATTATTATGTCTCACCAAAAGCCGCACCACGGTTTTTGGTTAAAATTGCAGACATGGACGAATTATTGAAGGTTTTATAGAAAATCTGTAGTGCAAGAGAATGAAATATTGCACACTTTGCGAATATGATCATCAAAAAATTGTAAAGTGTCGTGGGGCCGAAAATCAATCTTTCTAGACCACCGTGACTGCTATCGTCAAACTGACATCGGATTCAGAATCTACGCTACCGATTGACCTAGGAGACGGGTATTAGTCCAGATTACAGATACGAAGGTATTTTTGAAAATTTTCTTATAGAAAATCTGAAAAATATATAATAATTTGTAGGTCAAAATTTCCATTTTGGTTTCTGTTGTTACAAGTAAACGAAACTTTGCACATCCAGGTAATTTGGGACGCTGAATGCGAATATTATCATCAGCAAATTGTAAAGTGTCGTTGGGGACGGGTTTCAGGTAGAAAATCAATCGTTTTTTCATAAACAATTTGAAAAATATAGAAGAATTTATAGGGCAAAATTTCGGTTTTAGTTTTCTGTTGTTACAAGTGACTGAAACCTTGCACACTCAGGTAATTGGGACCCTGAAGGCGAATATGATTATCACAAAATTGTAAACTGTCGTCTAGATCATACGAGGGTATTTTTGGAAATTTTTTCATAGAAAATCTGAAACATGTATAGGAATTTGTAGGACAAAATTTCCATTTTCGTTTCCTGTTGTTGTAACAGAATTAAATTTTGCACGCTCAGGTAATTTGGGACGCTAAATACGAGTATGAAAATTGTAGTGTCGTGGGGTGGGATATCGGGTAGAAAATGAATCGGTTTAGACAACTCTTGAATGCTTTCGTCAAATTTTCACGTCGGATTCAGAAGCTACTCTACCGATTTACCTAGGGCTCTAGTATTAATTAGTCCAAATTTCAGATACGAAGGCATTTTTGAAGATTTTTAGCATAGAAAATCTGAAAAATATATAGCAATTTGTAGGACTGTTGTCACAATAGAATGAAACTTTACACACCTAGGTAATTTGGGACACCGAATGCGATTATTATTATCAAAAAATTGTAAAGCGTCGTGGGGCCGAGTTTCAGGTAGAAAACCAATTGCTTAGACCAGACGTGAATGCTATCGTCAAATTGACATCGGATTCAGAATTTCCGCTACTGATTTACATGTTCAAACGAGTATTAGTTTAGATGACGGAATACAAATACATTTTTGAAATTTTTTTCTGAACATAACCTCTCTTCAGAAAGCACAACATATAAATAACCCGTTATATTCGGCATATTCAATAATGCTTTGCTCACACAGCAAATATCACTGATTTTATACACATGCAGACCAATACACATAATCATCCAGATGCGATCTTGCTATTCAACCAACTTTCTTCTCAGAGATAAAAACTACAGAGACGGATCACTCAGCCTCACAAAACTATGCAACCAATGATGCTTGTAGTTTAGTTGAGTGATTCCTCCATAGATTTGCGCCCTAAAAACTACCTAGTTTGCAAGTTGAGATCTTATAGGTTTTTTTTGACGTTTTATAGGTTTTTTAAATGATACCCGTGCCGGTATTCGAACAAATAACATATACGCAGCCATTTTTTTCTGACAAAACATTTGAAAAATATATAAGAATTTCTAGGGCAAATTTTCCATGCTCGTTTCCTGTTGATAATGCCCGTATATTGCTAGAACAATAGTATACAATAGACTACCTCAATAACACTTAAGTCAGCCTCCTTACTTGTTCTCCTAGATTTTGAGACCTTTCTGTCATTGCACGTGTGTGGGGTGTGATGGGAAGAAGATGGCTTCTTTACCATGCGAATTTAGTATTTTTGTGACTACGATTCGCGTCTCTAGTGGTTTTTGTCTTTCAGCTGCAATTCACTGAGGAGAAGAGATTCTTCGTTCTTATCTTTTATTAATATTTCGTTTCATTTAGTTATTTATGCTAATACAAAAGAATTTTACAATCGTCATAACAGAGAAAAAAATCTCATCGTATAGCATGAAAGTCACTTACATGGTAATACATACTTAAAATGTTTTCACAACACGTTAAAATCAGTATTTAGAAAACCATAAGTTTTATAAAAACCATTTTGGATAAAAAAATTACTAATACGAATGTTAAAATCATTTAAAGACAGTGATCTTGTATTTAGTGGCAATTTGTTGAAAAATTTAATCGCCCAGAACCCCAGACCATCTTGACACCTTCTCACTCGCCAATATATAGAGATCAAATTTCTCTTATTTCTGGTGTTACCATCCATCCAATAAACAAATTTTTGCAATCATCTTTAAATTTCAGCCCCGCCAATCTATCAGCTCTCCTCTTCAACCCAAACACTAGCTGCTACAGCAGAGTGACCCCATACAATAATTGCACATGCCATGTCGCAATACACATTTCTTTCGACATTGCACTGTACCAAAATGTTTCATCAATACGCACATGCTACACATTTTCTTAGTGAAGACCGAAAACATCAAAGTGCAGGATATGAGGTTGTTCTTTGTAAAGATCACTGGTTTCGGTAGACTTGGTTTGTAACAGTAACGAAATATTGTGGAATGTCGGCTGAAAGGAAGTGATACTTCCTTTAGGTTTGGTTGAAGGAAGTACACAGTGTGATAGTTTAATCGAAGGTACTATACAGGGTGATTAAAAAAAACGAAGACAATATTTCTAGGCATCAGGGAGAATTACAGTGGACCCCCGATAATCCGGCGCCCCCTGTAATCCGACATGTCTTTGAATATGTATTACATACGTATTTGACAATGTAGATCACGCAGGTTTGAACAGGTTACAACTTGTACGCGCCACCGCTATCGTGCTCGACGCGTAAGCATTGTTTTACTTAGTTTGAATTTGACTACTTCTGATAGCGGTACGGCCTAGCGTGCGTTCATTGTTTACTATTTATTCATTGTGTATTAAGTATAGTACCTAGTAATGTCATCACAAATTCAGAAGCGAAAGCACAAAACGTTGACAATTAAAGAAAAATGTGATATTTTAGACCGCTTAAATCGCAATGAAACTTTCAGTAGTTTAGCAAGTGAATACGACGTAGGCCGATCTACGATTTATGACATTAAAAGAAACCACCAGAAGATCAAGAAGTTCGTGTCAACTACTGACTGCGGGCGAGGCAAGAGACATACACTCAAGAAAGCTGAACATCCAGAAGTGGAAGAAGCTTTGTACATGTGGTTTCTTCAGGAAAAAAATAGGCATGCACCAATTTCAGGACCCATGTTGGCCATGAAAGCTAAATTTTTTTATAAGGAAATAACAAAAAAATATGCTTTTTGTGGCCAGCAAAGGATGGCTAGAACGTTTTAAAAGTCGTCATGGCATACGTTTAATCACTATTACAGGAGATAAACTTTCTAACGATGCCACCTGCATAGAGCCCTTTAAATTAAGATTTTTTCAAAAGGTGAACGATTTAAATCTTGACCCGTCACAGGTCTACAATGCAGACGAATCAGGGCTTTTTTGGCGTGTGATGCCTAACACAACTTTCGTTTCTTGTAACGAAAAGTCCGAACCTGGACGAAAAGTAAGAAAAGAGCGTGTAAACATACTACCATGTGCTAACGCTGCGGGCACACACGCCCTTAAGATGATGGTCATTGGGAAATCTAATAAACCACGGGCAATCAAAAACATTATTAAACACTATTACGTACAAAAAGTGCATTGATGACAAAAGACCTTTTCAAAAAGTGGTTTGATAAATGCTTCGTACCTGCAGTTAGAAAATGGTTAAAAAATCATAATTTTCCTCAAAACGCGTTAACGCGTTGTTGCTTCTTGATAACGCTCCCGGTAATCCGTCTGAAGAAGAACTAACAACTGAGGATAAATGCATCACTGCGATGTTTCTTCCGCCAAATTGCACTGGACTGATTCAACCAATGGACCAGAATATCATTAAGTTTGTCAAGCAAGACTATAAGAAAAACCTACTTCTGAGAGCCGTATCAAAAGACCAACCAATAGAAAAAACTTTAAAAGAATTTAATATGAAAGACTTGGTTTTTGCTCTTTGTCAGTCGTGGAATGCGTTACCGTCATCAACTATTAAATCGTCTTGGAAAAAGTTATGGCCAGATATACTCACCACTCCTAGCAACGTTCCACAAATCAGTGTTACTTCGGAAGTTATAGAACGCTAGAACGCTACTGAAACACAGATAAGTCCGGAATATTTGGAAATCTGGTGCCGTGAAATGGATAAAGTGGAAAATGTTTTTCATGAAATGTCTGACGAAGAGATTATAAAAGAGGTTTCTAATTATACAACAATCTGGAAAATAATGACGACGTGATTGCAACTGCTCCACAAGTCACAGCACAAGACGCAATTAACGCCTTTGAGCTAGTTTTACAATGGGCTGAAGAGTAGAGAATGGTACATCCTACAACGAACTTTTACTTTTGAGAAGACTGAGGGAAAAAGCTCTGATCTCGCGTTATAACAACCAAAACAAAAAAAAATTGATGAACATTTCCAAACTTCATAATTTGATAAATTCATTAATGATTTTGATTAATAATTCTTGATTATTTTGGTACATATGTATGTGCATTTATGCTTAATTTTATAATAAAACGTAAGCTCTCTATTGTTATTTAATTTACTAAATTCGACATACCTAAAATATGTATGATTTGTACTTCAAAGTACATACATATACATAACATATACATATAATCTTACCATTGGATATGTAATTTGTCGGATTACAACGTACTCTTTTTTAAAAAATTCCGGAGTCTTAGGCAGTGCTCTATAATCCGACAAATTCGATAATCCGACACTGCCCTGCATAATGTGTTTCGGATTACCGGAGATCCACTGTATAGAGGTCAGAAAAGTCAGAAGAAGGTTAGGCAAGTTGAATAGAAGGAAAGCGTGTTGATCGAGATTACAAATACGCAGAAAGTTTTTCAAAATCCCCATCGAGAGATTCTCAACGTAAAATCTTTCACTTTTAGTTTTCCGTTATCCAGGGATGCTGGCGACTCACTTTTCATTGAAACGATTCACCTTTCTCACTATTTTCGCTCTCGCTGCACATATTGTAGTTTATGAACGTTTTGAAGGAGCTGTGCTGGTTCTCTCAAGCCCCACAAAATTAACTGAAGTGATTTTTTCCATAAAAATTAACCATGACAAAGTTGTTCATGTACAGGGTTCTCCCCAAGCTGAGCGAATATGTATTACATGGGAAATCACTAGAATTAGTTGAAACCTACGTTGAATTTTGATTCAGCTCTGCTAAAAGCACTCTATACAGGGTGTTCATTTGAAAACTTTCACCACGGATTTATTGAAAAGAAAAAAACGCCGAGACATGTCAAGGTGGGACACTTCTTAACCAAAAACTACTTCACCCCTTCCACCGTCGCCTCCAAGGGGGTCATTTCCTTAAAAATTTTAAATGACAAGGGGTATCGAGTGATACTTAGCTTATTTAAAAGGTATTTCGAAGTTCTTTATTTTTTTGACGTTTGATTTATTAACATCATTCAATTCGTTTTCGAGAAAATTAGAAAAATCTTTATTTATCTTAATTTGTTCAGATAAAAAAAAATAAACACACGAAACTATCAGTATTTATTTCTATAAGTGTTCAAAATGTTTCCCGTTATAGACAAAACAATGATATAGGCGATGTTCAAATTCCTGACGGACATTTTCAAAAACATGTGGGATATCATGACGTGAGGAGAGGCTGGAAATATATACATATATACAGCCTCGTTAAGTATACGGTTTTCATCCTAGTCGATTTGGCTTTCAATCGTTTCAGTGATAAGCGGATTAATGGTATTTTCCAAAATATCTAAATAAATGTCTCCATTCAAATTTCCATAAAGTATCCTAGTAAATCTTGGGAAGCAACCCAAACCCAAACATCGCTATTGGCGTGAAGTCATCAGCAAGTGATCAGCCAATACTATTAATGCGATATCTAACTATAATGCGTTATGTCTGTTTTTCGACATAGTAGTTAACGGTTAACAGCGAAAATGCTGCCATCATTGGCTGCCAAGACAACGTCGGAAAAACAACAAAATGATAATAGAAGCTTTCAAAGCTTGACAGCAAATTAACCAGACAGGATAAAATGACAAACCATGAGCTGCGACGTCACTGCCATGCGCGCGAAAAAACGCTGCGCTGTTTAAATTAACGTCATTGACATTGTACTTTTGAATATTTAATCAAAAAAGTCCACACTGTGACAAGGTTTTCATTTAAGCCCCCTCCCCGGTCTTCTTCAATTTTTAATTGCCAGCAACATAGCGATGGAGCATTTCCATTCATATTAATGACATGACCCCGGTATCTCTTTAAACTTCGATGTGTATCAATGAAAAATATCGATTTTTGACTTGTCTCGTTAGAAGCGTATGAGTCTGTTCACTGTAGGTTGACTCTGCACTTTCTAGATAACGCCCTCATCAGTTCATAAAGGATTACATTCAGCACAAGTTAGACACTCTGAGAAAAACTTTAGTTACTAATATCTGTAACAGAGTCAGTCAAACAGGGCCATACAGTAAAGAGTCGTGGATTTGCCGAGCAATATTTTGCGTTAATCGAACAAATGGGGACAATTTTGAACAGTTTTTGTAAGAATGGTATCCATTTAACTTGATAATGATTGTTTTAAATAATGTAAATGAACTTCTTATTATGCAACTTTTATGTAGGAGATATCTGGTATTTCAACTTCTTTTGACGAGTTCTACAAGCTGTTAAAATAAATGACTTTGAAAACACCATGTGGTGTAGGAATTGAAAATATGAAGTTTCAACGTTCATATGAAATGTGTCAAAAAAAACGTATTTTCGAAAATGTAGCTATAGGAACACATTAGTCTTAAGTTATCATACATTAAATAATTACTCCTTGAATTTTGGTCCATGTTCTGGAATATTTGCTCGTCACTGTTTCAGTCTTAACCTTAAATGTGCGATATGTGGACGCTACTGAGATAGTCTGCTTTGACACCATTTTTCAAGTAATAATGAATAAAGTGAAATGTAAAATTCCCAGCGAAAATATCTCATCGCAGGATGCAGAAGCAGACGATATGTATACAAAATATGTATAATATCGCCGCATGTACTATAGATAACTGGATGAATGTATAAATATTTGCATTGCAGATAACAGTGCGAAATGGAAAACGGAGAGTCCCCTTTAGATGTTTTATCCACCGTGGCTTCCATAGTTCAGGAAAATCAAACCCCTTTGTCGCCGTCCCCCTCTCCTACCGGTAAGTGATAACTGTATGTAATTTGTTTATGCCTCGTTTCGTCGTGAAAAATAAATACTAATTGTAGAATGTATGTGTTGTTTTTAAAGCAAATATTTTGCCTATAAAAATGTCTGTAAGGCTTTTAAATTTGTGTTTTATTGCCATATAGGAATGAATTGTGGGTAAATCATATACTAAGTGTTTCAAAATGTAGACTTACCTTTGGGATCTCGAAAACTGTAAGAGATATGAAGTGGCTTAATTAGGGGCAAAGTTGCGTATTTAAGAAATGCCGTTTAAACAGTTTCGAAATTCAAAGTACGGAGAGACGCGGACAAAACCGAATTTTCTCAAAATGGTTTTAATTTTTTCCTGACTTTATTTGTAACGGTATTTCAAAATCAATTTCACATCAACATTGCCACTTTTTCTAATCTACAAGGTGACACAATTAGTATTTCAATATGACGTTTCATCTCTTGCTCTCCAGCATCAACTTTATTTTTTCTTATGGACGCCATATTGGATTTTTGCCCAGATGAATCGAGTTTTCAATTCAAAAATGTACATCCACATTGACATTGTCAAACATTAGTTATTTAAAAAAACAATTTCCTAGGTAGGCCTTGAAATTATCAGATAGTCATTATTTGTTTCGTATACCAAAGTTATCGCAAAATTATTTCTTTGAGATGGGAGTTCAAAATAAGTTGCATGTTGCAATTGCCACTTTTTCTCCTCTACAAAAGATGTCGTCCAAACTCTGTTACTACGTTCAATTTCAAGTGAGGTCTGGTATACGGAACAAATGACTATCTGATAATTTCAAGGCCTACCCACGAAATTCTGTTTTTCTGAAATAACTGTGGTTTGGCAATATCAATGTATAACATAATATACATTTTATGGACTCAAAATTAAATACTCTATTCATCTGTGTAAATCCAATATGGTATCGATAAGAACCAGTAAAGTTGATGCTGAAACTCTCATTATGCCTTCTTGTAAATGCGAAAAGGTGGTAATATTAATGTGCTATTACTTTGGGATCAACAACAAATAAAGTAAAAAAAAAAATATTTTGGAAAAATTTTCGTCTCTCTCCGGAAATACTTTGGATTTGGAAACTTTCTAAGCGACATTTTGTTGTTTACCTGAATACGCAACTTTGACCCAATTTAAGCGACTTTGAAACAACTGGTAACTGTATTAATGCAATGCTTTGAAACCATACAAAGGTTCAGGGTCTATAGGCGGGACTTACATCCATGGAAATTACTTAAATTACAAGTTGATGTATTTTAAAGATTCACGAACATTATATATTTTATATTTTATACCTCATTGTTCTTTAATTTTGCAAATTTGGCATTTTTGTCCAAAAGTCACTCATATTCAAGACCTCAAATTTTCATTTTTAACGTGAGCGCAGTGGAGCAGCACCTTATTTTTACAAATATATGTTCTCCGTCTTACTGTTAATATTATAAATTTGAAAGAATGCGGAAGTTCAGAATATAACATATTTTTATGCAAACATTTCCTAGATACGATCATTTCGAAATTTGAGTTACTTTAAGGGCCCAAAACCCCTCCCTTAGACTCCGATTATTTCAATCGTTGAACATTGTTAATACCTGGACCACTTATTTCTTTTAGATTTTACCAAGGCATCTGATACGATAAACCACGATATTTTGATAGCTACATGCAAATATTATGGTTTCTGTAATAACTCGTTGAAATTGACAAGTAGCTTTCTCACAAATAGGCCTCTGAGAGTCGTTATTGATACAAACTCTTCGCCTGAATGTTTGATTTTCTCAGAAGTACCACAAGGCTCAGTACTTGGACCACTTCTGTTTCTCTTCTATACGAACTATATCCGATTTCAACAAAATTGCAAAGTACTGCAATTTCAATCTTTTGCGGATGATTCATTATATTTTAGCTTTATATAATACGAATAGTGCTGAAGTTCATACTTCAGAAGTTTTGAAATCTATTGAAACTTATGCCGCTGAACATAACCTTCTGTTAAATCTATCTAAATCTAAATAATCATTTTTTCTTGTAAATGACTTAGAAGTCATTAAAATTAACTTCATCCTAAGAAACGGCAATGTTATTTAAATTGAGGAATCAATCAAAAGTTTAGGGGTATTATTTGACGAGAACCTTAGGTTGATACCTTACCCAAGTAGCATTACTAAAAGATGCTTTGCAGTCCTACGTGAATTATACCTTAACAGGCAAATGACAATGTCAAAAATTATTTACTGCGACTGAGTTTTTCGTCCATTTTTAGATTCTGTACCTGTGAAACGTTAGCAAACATTCCTGTTGTAGATTGATTTTCAACCTACGAAAATATGATCACATTAGCTCGTATTTTGAACTGAATTGGTTAAATGTGACAAAATTATTTAAGTTTCACTTATTATGTCTTGTGCACAATGTTCTAGCCACCTAATAACCTCCATTTTTAAAAGACAAGCTAATATTTCGCGAGTGTTCCCACTCAAGAAATATTGGTTTTGTGAATTCGTTATCCATGCCTCTTCACAAGACATCATTCTTCCATAAGTGCTTTACTTATAATGCCACTATACTATACAATGCATTACCACCGCTTAAGAAGCTTCTGAACGTCCAAAAAACAAGAAAAGAAAATCATTTTTGAATAACAAATTTAAAGACAATCATCAAATATCATTTCTCTAAATTATGAACATGAACTATGCAGGTCCTTTTAAAACAAAATTTTGTTATCATGTGAAATTTATATAATACTACTATGTAACATATTTAGTAGGTACTGTACTATAAAGGGTGGGCCAACCCTGTGTGGACGGAATATTACTCATAAACAAATACATTTTGGGAAAATCTATTTATGGCATGTTATACATGACATCTGAGGGCACATTTCTAAAATATTGGCAATTATACAGGGTGTCCCAATTTCGACCTACATATCAAAGTTGTGATATTTTAAACGGAATGCATCAAATTTTATTACATATTTGGATCAACCAATTCAAAAGAAGAAGATTGATATAACATACTATGGGGTTTTGGTAATTAGCTAATGAGATGTAAGGTGTTTTGTCCAGAAAAACCGTCCACTTCGGCAACTCCTCAATCCGCCAATTTGGAGTGCTGAATTTTGTATAGAAAAAACTTACACACCTCAGCTTTTATCTTGTTTGTTACTTTTTCGAATTTTTATTTTTGCTCATACAGGGTGGTCAAAAACGCGAATTGTAAATTTTCTCAAAAATTTCAAAAGCGTCATCCTGTATATTTGTGCAAGCTTGGATTCAATTTTTATAAGTTTTTTTTCGTATGTGGTTTTGATTCAGATAAAATCACGAGATTTTGAGTTTTTAAGCTTTTGGTATGGATGGTCCTATGCTTGTGAGTAATCCTTTGGACATAAGTTCTACATATATCAGTTTCTGCTCCAATTTGCCGTGCACTTAGATTGGGATTTACCTGCAACTTTAATAGAACCTCCAACTGATTCGCCTCATTGGTGACACTTGGATTATTTATACATTTTTGACTATATTCCACTGCTCCACTTGATTCAAAACGTTCTCGTAGTGTGGAAAATGTTGCCGGCCTTGGATATCCCATATTAGGGTACCTTTGCTTATAAATGCGAGATGCTAAGAAACTATTTTTTTGGGCTTTGCCCAAAACGAACACCATATTCACCATTTCTTCTTTAGAAAATATCATTTTCAAACACGTTTTATCTCAGTAGCTAATTACCAAAACCCCATAGGATGCCATATCAATTTTCTTCTTTTGAATTGGTTTACCCAAATAAGCAATAAAATTTGAGGCATTCAATTTGAAAAACCACAACTTTCATATGTAGGTCGAAATTGGGACACCCTGTATAATGACCAATATTTTAGAAATGTGCCCTCAAATGTCATGCATAACATCCCATAAATAGATTTTCCCAAAATGTTTATGAGTAATATTCCGTCCACACATGGATGGGCCACACTGTATTTACACAAGTTATTCTATTTATATATTTTTGATGTTAATTTATTTTTGTTACGGTTGTCAAGGGGCAGATTAGCTATAGGCTCAACTTCGCGCTGAATAAAGACGATTTATAAATATTGTTATACAGTACAGTATATTCAGATAAGAGATAGACCGGACATAAACAAGACCACGTGATCATCGAACGCTGTAACATTCGGCAGGGACGTATCAAGAGTCACGCAGTACATATTTTAGATAGTAGATGCTGCTTTGCGTAACTTTGTAGTAAATTAGCACAATTCGATGTGTATACGATTGGTGATGGATATAGGATCATGTGGGGGTGGGGTAAGAAATATATAATGATGTAAATATACATAAGGGTTTCAAAATTTTCGCTTCGATTTCCAGCTTCGGATGCCGCCTGATGTTTGGTGAAATACAGTCGAATATAATCTCAAAATGGCGTTTAAATTAGCCTAAATTAAAAATAATCGTATATCTCTTAAAATTGCTTTTAGAATAGTGATTAGTATATTTTTTGATTTCTAGGTAAATATGTAACCAAATTAAAACGTTCAAAACGTAAAAAAATGTGCATGGTTGAACATTGTCAGAAAGTAGATTCTTGAATAGGTTTTGCCAAAATGGGTTCAAAAATGTCAATAATTAATTAAAAAATACAGTAGCTTTATAATTACTTATAACTTACCGAATTTGATGAACGACATCTTTTATTGGAAAGATGAGCTTGATGAGCTTTCATCATCGCTACTGCCTGAAGCACCAACGTCAATAATGAATGGCTCGACTTGTTCCTCTAAAATATTGTCCAGTTCCCACATTCTCTTTTCTACTTTGTCTTTCACGTGCTTAATACAGTTTTCCCATTTTTGCGCTGTTATTAATTCTAGTGCTTCTTTGAAAAGTCCTTTGAGGTCACAAAATTTAAAAGTTGTATTGTGCTTAGCTATATAATTTTTAACCTCTGCCCATATGAGCTCAATGGGA